ATAATGTTAAGTCACATATAGGTACTTGACTATTTGAGTTGGAACTAATTAATTAACTTACCTCGTTCATTAGGTTTTTCCATTCCCCAAAGGGGATGATGCGCGTTGGAGTCCGTCCCGATCACAACCTCTAGTCCGGCCCTCTCACAGAAATTCACCAGCCTGACGAGGTCGTGAGGGGGGAGGGGTGTTTTTCTCAGGCATGTAGGCCGAGGCGACGACTAACCTTTCCTCCTGTGTGTTATATAATGCTACGGCATACATGTCTCTGGAACAGAAATCTGTTAATGGTTTTGCACAGATATCTTTAGTAGTATAAATACACGCTCTAGGCTTGTCGTGCTCAGAGTTGTAGAATAACTTACCTCTTAGGTTGTTTAGGCCTTTAATTTTACCAGCCCCAACCCATGGCTCTTGGATTAGGGCTATGGCCGTCCTTTGTGCCTCCAACCACTTGCGTAATTGAGCCGACGCTGTCTCACAGTGGTGGAGGTTGGCCTGCACTAGGTTAGTTTTGGACGAAGGACACGCCATCATCGATCGCGTCATCCTCGTCCCCGCCTAAAAATAAGCCTGCCAGCAGATCTCGGGTCTCATCGTCAGCCACCGAGTCGGAATTGGACGGCAAAATGCAGTCCTCTTCGTCGTTCAATGAGCTGCCGCTGAGCTCAGTTTCCACTGGGGGCTTCGGCTCGGTTGTGCAGGCAGTTTTTTCACTGGACTTGACATCCAGTGATTTCGATGTACCGGCAACCATGGCCACGGTATCCATGACTTCCGGGTTCTTTTCTGCCTCTTTGCTAGGTGGGAAATCAACGAATTTTCCTCCACGACCCTGGAATTTAACGTATACCGCCCCACATACACATGCGAGACGGCGCCCGGCTTTCATCAGGGTCGGGATATGATCCTCCGGCACCGAAACAACGAGGAACCACCTGTCCGTCTGTTTGTCCGCTTTAAGTAGTAGCCAGTCCTTGATGTTTACCCAGGGGTTCTGGTACGCAAGCACACGACCAATGTCGCTTGAGTCCTTCCAGGCACCTTGGACATCAGGGATAAGGATACCACATTTGATTCTTTGTAGTATCTCTGACTGTTTCTTAATAGTCAGCAGGGTGTTGGATTTGAGGTCGAGGGTATTAATATTCCCCTTCAACCAGTCCAGAGCCTTCTGATCATCGCACCACAGCTTTAGGACACCCTCCGTGTAAACAGAGTTGCCTCTAAAAACCGGGCCCGACGCATCAGGGTCCTGGTTACTCCAGGCCTCGCTGATCATCTTCCTCTCACACTGTTAAATACAATCTTCCTGACACGAGGATGTCATCAGCCACCTCCTTTGTTATGTGACCTGAACGCGCACACGTTAAGGCCACACCCAAATCTGCTTTAGCAGCAGAAGCGTAGCTTGTTCTTGCAGCCTTTAGTTGCTGTTCAAGTCGCACCGTTTTGTGCTCTCCTCTCGGCGAGGTGGACTCCTCCCGCATTCTTTTGGCTGTTCTTTCCTTCTTTCCAGGACGCTTGGCTGCTCTCTGGTTCCTGGCGGATTTCTTAGAGCTGGTTCCGGTGGCTGTGCCTACTGCTCGGGCTGGATTTTCATCCTTCTCAGTTTCAGCACGACTACTCGTTCCAGCCTCAAGCACCGCAGTAGCAGTAGCTTACCCAGCTCCCTGAGTCTTACTCTTGGAAGCAGCGAGCGCGGCTCTTTCTCTACGGCCTTTTTCTCGCTGATTCTTATTCTTCTTTTTGACCTTTGCGCTACTGCCTGCTGGGATAGACCCACCTGATGGTGCGTAGGGTCGGCAAGTCACCATTTTGGGTGCCTTGCGCTTCCCCTTACGGCCCACCACTGGCCAGGCAGCCGAGAAAAGGTCTTCGGTCCCTAGGGGCTCCGCAGGAGTTTTGCTACTCGCGGCCCCTTGCTCATTTTTCTCGTCCAGCTCCTTGGATTTGGAACTGGATTTAGAGATATCCAGCGCGGAAATTGCCCCCTTGGTGGGGTCACCTACGCTGGGTGGTACAGTCGGTGGAACGGAGGGTTTAACGGCGGTTCCTTCTGGTTATCAGTGTCTAAGGTAAACACCTCTGACACTTCTCCCTCTCTACTAATGGGCCTTGTGTTGTCCATAGTTTTTGACATGTGTAATAATTCGCCCCCCGGCTTCCCACCCTCCATGGAGCCCGCACCTTTGGGAACGCCCTACTTTATTAAAAGAATTTCAGGCGTTAGGATTACCGGGGGGAATATAGGGACGCAGAGTTGGCTCACAGCGCGACATCGGGAGCTCGATCCAGCTGGCAGATAGAGCTGAACAGGCCCATCCCTACTGCCCGAGTACTTTCACTTACCCCGTTAGCAGGGCCTTTACCACCACCTAGCCCTTTTCAGGGAGACTAGGCAGCCCCCACATCCCTCGCCTGCGACCCTCTGACGGGACGCTTGGCCATTTCCTTATCTGTGGCTAGCAGATAAGGCCACCGTTTAGCTTGAAATCCGGACCAAAGAGGGCGTGTTGCCTCTCGACACTATATACCCCAGTGACGATCGGCTCAACCCTCCAGGACTCCTTCATCCCCGCATACGGAGCTCAACTACGCAGGTCCTAGCGCAGGTGGGTGTGTTAGTCCACCGGATACACCCACTCTCTCCGGCGGAACCGTTCCCTCCTCTTTTCCGGGCTTGGGACCGGCAGCAACACAAAGCGTTGACAAAGTTAGTTGCCCGTGCTTCCTGTTGCAGGCAGAGTTAAAAACGCAGTAGACATGTTGTCAATCATGAATAATTCGTTCGTTTGAGCTGGTATACTTAAAAGTATTGATGGTTCATTCATCTGTTGTTGAATGTTCCGGTACAACCAATTACAAACAATTGATGGAACTTTTTTAACTCGTGATTTGTGTCAAATTATTCCAAAATATCCCGAACGATCTGAATGAATTGTGTTTTATGTAGGGTACTGTGAACCGAAATGATCCATTTGAATGATCGATCCGAATGTACCGCGTGACGAAATGTCCTAGAACGATTAGGTCACGAGGAATGAATGATTAACACATGTATAATACGCAGCTTTTAATATATTTTTTGAGTATTTATTAGGAAGAAGTTGCTACCCGTCTTTAGTTTTGTTTCCCTCTGTCGCTTCTTACGACACAGACCGGACTACACGGCGATGGATATGCAATAATAAAAATGAAAATTATATAGTTTTTTTAATGTTAATAAGAGCTTGGCACATACCTTACATACATACATTACATATATGCATGCATAAACTAACGCCTGTCACCTAGAGCAGATACCGGCGGAGATCAAACCAGAGTTGCTCGCGTATTGTGAAATTTACAGCGAGCGCAGTAAAGCATAGTATCATGGCTCATAGAATTACTATAGGTCGCATCACGGTTTCATAGCGCTGACCTTGAATGCGCAGAAATCGATTTTTAGATCTGTTTAGCGAAAGGAGTGAGGTACAACGAGGGAGGTGCTCGGTGCCGGCATTCTATTGGTCGCTCAGTCGTTTTCCCCACGCTTTACTTTTGCTCCGTTCACACGTCGCAAAGCCCCTACAGAAAGTCGCACATATCATTATTTCTATACGTTCGATAATCACTTTTTCATTTCTAGTGCGAAAGATGCCGGCAAAAACAGTATTAACTAGGCTTGCTAGAAAAATGGTGTACGAAATTCACAAAAAATTCACGTGTTTTGTTTTAAAAAAAGGCAATTGAAATTATTGGTAATTTAAAACGGTTTAAAATCACAACAGCAGGAGCGACTTTTACACTACAAAAAAACTTGGAAATAACTATTAAAATCTTACAGATCCACCTCGACTTCAGCGGTTGGGGGAGAGGATACTCTTCTCGTCACAGCCCAGCAGCACACATTCGAAGTGGGCTCGCCAAGCCCACTCGGAGTGGCCACCTTGGGCCGGCCCCTCACCTCGGACCAGCCATGTGGGTTCCTCTTTGTTCACCAAACCACGGCTTCTACCCCCCCCCCCGCCACGACAAGGCGCGAAACCGTTCGGGGGATACTACTAATATACCTACATCCCATACTTGCCTTACGAGGATATGTGCCATAGTTTTCAACTTTGGTTGAAAAATTGAACAACATTGAAAACTAATTTTTCATTTTTTTTTCTAGTTGTTATTAAGAAGACGCGGCCACTCATCTCCTGGTTTGTTTCCATCCGTCGCCTTTTACGACACCCTTGGGACGATGTGGGGAAGTGGACATTGTTATACGGGTCATACTCAGAAAAAGTGTACATTTTAAATTTTGTAACTAAACTGATATGTGACGATACTGAGAATATTCGTAACGAAACCAATCTCATAAGGTATAGTACACATTAAACTAAGTACAAATTATAGATTGAGCTAATAAAACACTTGTTTGGTTTAATTGGTCCTATTTGTATTAATTGAAATAATATTTAGACCAACCAAAATTATAATTTTATAAAAAATTAACATCGGTGAATTAGATATAAAACTAGGAATATTAAATGGAATGTCAACAAATATTAATTTTTTCACACAGTAATACCTCAGTATAAAAAAACGTGATGTCGGAGGAATGTTCACGAGATCAAAATGAAGTCTAATAATTTATTATAAGATATCAAAATTTGAGTCATTGTCACTCGCATCATTATGATTATTATTTTTAAATAAATATATATTATCATGGGTAGGAAAAAAATATTGACATGTGAAGTTCGCCAACACGCATTGGAGCAACGCGGCAGTCACTTCCTTGGCCTAAAACCCTCTCAGAAATGAGGGGAGGCCTGTGCCCAGCAGTGGGACGTATATAGTAACTTTATTTTTACTTTACTTTATGGGTAGGATCAATCTTATGCACTGACGAGTCTCGTCCTTCCTGGTGAAGCAAAATTAAAGTATCGTTGATTGTCTGGATGCAATCTAATATCCGATAAAATAGTGACTTTATTTTTGGGTTTTGTTGTAATATCTGATGATAGCTAGTTACTTTCTTCATTAATATAGGGACTATTGTCACTTTCAGCATAAACGACTTCTTCATCAGTGTCAGAAGATTCGCAATCAAATGTTATACTCTTTTTACCTATCTTTGGTGATTTATTCTCTTTTTCTCTTGTTACTTTTTTATATCTGTCAGACGTCAATTCTTGTTTCTGAATATCCTGAATATTAGATGTTCTTTTTATCTCCATTTCAACACTTTTTTCTATCATAATCTTCTTTCTTCTTCTTTCCTTTTTTTGAAAAATACAACTTTTGTTGAAATAAATACAAATTAGACTAGTTTTACTTATTTATTAATTAAATTGATTTTATTGACTTCGTTGTTTTATTTGCAGTAAAGAAAAAAACTGCTAGAAAAGACTAAACACCACAACGACGTATTATAACTACATATTAAACATTATTTAAGTAGTAGTAAATAATTACATACTTAATTGTTTTTGTGAACTAAGCTTAACAATTTCTCAGTTTCGTACCGTTACGCAATATAATGAAATTGAGAATAAAATCTGAGAAATTATAAACTCTAAAACTATTTTTACGTAAACCAAGTGTTGCACAAACAAACACCGATTGTATTCGTTATGATATTACAAAAAATAATAAAAGGATTTAATTAGTAAACAAAAACTATAGTAAATTTTCCAAAATAATAGCTGTTTATCACCCTGAGATAGTTTTTGTGAATATTCACGTGATAACAAATCTTGAGTCCACGGTTGCGACTAAAACACAATGGCCGCGGCAATAGTTTTGACGTAGTTACTAGTGTTGCCGGAATAGAAAAACGTATTTCTACTATTTTAAATAAATGCGTTCTTAATTTTACTACACGTTACGAAACCTGAGTAACGCAACGTTATAATTTTGGGACATTATTAATTTAATTAAAATAAATTATTTTTTAAATGACTTACGAATGAATTAGGTCGAGTTTAATTGTTTGATTCAGCATGAGTAATATGGCCATAGCCATGTTAAATAAAGCTTATAAATATTCGTAACAACTTAACTCTGAAAAATTAAAATGGTCACTGGGACGCTAAAAAAATGTTCGTTAGCATTTTTACAAAAAGAATGATCTCAAAAAATTTATTCCTTTACTAAAAATTAAAGTTCAAATACCAAAAAATTCTTCACATTAATAGACTAATATAACAACAAGGGGAATTGTTTTTTTATCATATTTATAAAATTAGATATTTATTAAAGTATGAGTTCGCGGGACAAGAAAAGATAGCAAATGTACATCTTTTCTGAGTATGACCCATACCGCCATTACATGGTAGACATTAAAATAATTCAGCCATATTGTGTAGAAACATAATAACCAAAAATTACAAAATTATTATTGCATATAAAAAATCACCATAACGTAATCTGAAGTTCGAAAACATCAAGACATATTTTTCGTAAATCGACGTCAGATGGACAAACCTGTAATATTTACATCATACATTATTGATCGGCGGAAAGTTTTTAATTAACTGGCAACACTAATACAATTCGTGTACTTAAACTTAACAAACTTAGTAAACGAACATTCTAGGAAAAAGAAGTAGCTTTCAAATGAAATTATCATCAAAAGCTTTTCTAAAAGTACCGTGCACAACTGATCTCTTTTTGCAGTGGTAACTTTTAAAGAGGAATTTTAATTGTGATTACCAAAGAGTTTAAATAAAGATAGAACGACAACTACGTTAGTACTCTTATTAGTTTGTGACTATAACAACTCTTTGGTTTTATTGACTTGTCTATGACTAAAAAACTCGGTGCTAAATAAGGGTGGTGTCAGTGTAGCTGCAGTCCAAATTTTAAAGAGCTATTTATATTTTTTTATTGCACAGAATTTCACCATTGTTCTTTTTTCAATAATTATTTTATTACTTTCAAAGTTTTTATTTTCAAAATCACTCTTAACGTATTTTACGGTGATTTATCATTCCCTGTAGCTACTCGAGCTCTGTTGTGGAGAGTTTTTGAATTGTTATTTAGGTACTGCTTACGGATGGACACATTTTCAACTATTTTCCTATGGGAGATTGTCGTCCTCACCTCTATACTTCATGGTCTATACTCTATAAAATGTATCAAAAACTGGCAATTTTGTTGTGTTGAATAAAACAGTTATTTACGGATTTTGTCGTTATTTTATCGTGTAAGCAGTAAACAACATTAACAGTGGTAGAGCCACGCGGCAGCTTTGCTGTTGCACGTATGGGCCGGCTCAAACCGGGGTGGTACCATGACCTCACAGAATACCGGCGTGAAGTGGAAGCTCTGCTTCCGCGTTTCGTCTGGTGAGTGCAGATGGCCGGAGGCCCAAATACCCCCCCCCCCCATCAACATGGTAGCGGAAAAATAATGATAGACTACCCTAGGAGGGTACCAGCACCCCTGGAGAAGTCAGGCTGCCCCGCGTATTCTGGGGGGGGGGGGCAAAATTCCGCTCAAGACTACAACTGCTCGGGGCAAACGGATCAACAAGACCAAGGCGATCCCTGCCACGCTATCCGTGAATTTCTGCAATATCAGGGGACTTCACTCTAACCTAAACGCCGTCCACTACCATCTCGAGACGGCGAGACCGATTCTGCTCTTTCTGACTGAGACGCAGGGTCCTCTCCGGCTGATGTCTCGTATCTCTCCTACCCGGGGTACAAACTGGAACACTCCTTTGTGCCTCGGGCTGGAGTTTGCGTTTACGTCAGAGAGGACATCTGTTCTCGACTCCTCGGCAGACTTGAAAGTACGGACCTGTCCATCCTTTGGCTACGCGTAAACAGCGACGACCATCCGCGCGTCTACGGGTGCCTCTATAGGTCCCATAACGGTAATACCGAAACAGACCGACTCTTCGACCACGTCCAAATGGCTACAGATTCGTTGCTACAGCAGATCCCCTCCGCAGAGATCGTGATCCTCGGCGACTTTAACGCCCATCACGCCGAATGGCTTAGTTCACGTTTAACCGATCATGCGGGGAGATCTGTTCATGATTTTGCCTTGGCATATGGTCTGACACAACTGGTTACTTCGCCTACGCGGATTCCAGATGTGCAGGATCATGCAACTTCCCTGTTGGACCTTCTGCTGTTCTCTCACCCGGACGGATATCAGATTTCCGTCGAAGCCCCTTTAGGCTCCTCGGACCATTGTCTTATCCGGAGTGTGGTGCCACTCACGCTGAAATAACAGTTGCATTCTGCAGGCTGCCGCCGTGTTTGGCACTATAGGTCAGCCGATTGGACTGGGATGCGGTCTTTCTTTGCATCCTACCCTTGGGGGCGGGTTTGCTTCTCGCCGGACGATCCCAACGTTGTTGCGGATTCTGTCGCTGATGTGGTACTTCAGGGTATGGAACTTTTTATTCCTTCCTCTGTGGTGCCCATCGGAGGCAAATCTCAGCCATGGTTTGGTCGCTCCTGTAAAATAGCATCATGCTATAAGCAGGAGTGCCATCGAGCCTGGGCTGACGCATCAGCGTCCCGGGAAGTAAATACCAGCGCTATAAAAAAAGAAGTATATTCCGCCTCTAGGTCCTTCAAAAGAGTCATTGCCAAGGCAAAGTCAGAGCACATAGGCAGAATTGGCGAGAAACTAGTTCGCCTTCCTTCTGGAACCCGTGCATTCTGGTCTCTCGCCAAGGCTGTCCAGGGGAATTTCTGTCAGCCATCTCTTCCATCTCTGCACAGGGAGGACGACTCACTGGCCCATACCGCAAAGGAGAAAGCCGATTTTCTAGGCTCTTTCTTTGCGTCCAACTCGACTCTCGATGACGGGGGGAGTACGCCGCCGACCATCCCGCGGTGTGAGTGCTCCATGCCGGAAGTGCAGTTCACACATGCAAAACACTCCTCTCCCTGGACATCCACAAGTCAAGTGGACCTGACGGAATCCCCCATATTGTGCTGAGGACGTGTGCTCCAGAGTTGGCACCGGTTTTAACGCGTCTTTTCCGGTACTCCTACTCCCTAGGCGTAGTCCCAAAATCATGGAAGACGGCTTTCGTCCACCCGATCCCTAACAAAAGGCGACCGCTCAGACCCGTCCAACTACCGGCCTATCGCCATCACCTCCTTGTTCTCCAAAACAATGGAGTCTATTGTAAACTGCCAGCTCATGAGGTACCTTGAGGATCACCAGCTGATAAGTGACCGCCAATACGGTTTTCGCCGTGGTCGGTTAGCTAGTGATCTTCTGGTCTACCTAACTCATAGATGGGCGGAGGCAGTAGAGTCCAAGGGGGAGGCATTGGCCGTTAGTTTGGACATTGCGAAGGCCTTCGATCGGGTTTGGCACAAAGCGCTTCTTTCGAAACTCCCTTCCTATGAGCTTCCAGAGAAATTGCATTTTATTTCGCATATACCATGGAGAGTGCTCTGAGGAATTGTTCGGATTAATCCCAACCGCAAAATTTCGTGAACGCACTACGCGGCAAACGTCCCGATACCATCCACACCATCTGGATGCTTGACGGTCCACCACAGTTACGTTTCAAAAGGAGTTCTCTTCCGCGTACAACCTCTCTGTGGAATAGTTTACCACCGGCGATTTTTCCGGACCGATACGACCTGGGGACCTTCAAGAAAAGAGCTTACTCCTTTCTAAAGGGCCGGCAACGCACCTGCAATTCCCCTGGTGTGGCGGTTGATCATGGGCGGCGGTAGTCACCTAACATCTGGTGAGCCGCATGCTCGTTTGCCCCCTCTTCTATAAAAAAAGTAAATAACAGTTCAAAAACATACATTTATTTATTATATTTTATTTACAAATATATTTATTTATATTGTATAGAAAAAAGAAAGAACATAAAATAAATATTAAGAAATATAAACTGGTAATAAAACAAAAAAAAATCTTTCTGAAAACACGACGTCAAGTCCTAGTTCAGTATATTTTTTCTACAATCGGTTGTTTTGTAATGGAACAGAAACTAATAAGAGTACAAACGTAATGGTAATGGAACATCTGCATGTTTTAGTCTATGATTATAGATGGCATGCCATGATATTTAAATGAAGAAATATTTTTCTATTGTAGTATTACGATATAATTACCTATTTTTTTACTTAAACAACCAATATTTTTAGTTACTTCACTACTTAATTGTTATTTATGTCCAAGTTCAAACTTCGATTTGAATTTTCGTATTATTAGCGCCGCTCCGCACTGCATGAATATCAAA